ACTAAGTTAGCGGTTGTGAGCCAATTATGACAATGGCCGGCGATGCGGTGGGTTTTGACGTTGCTGGTTCTTTCCGTGTTTAAACGCTGCATAGGCATTTAAGACTCTTCTTGATCTATCCGTTGCCATCCACCACCAAATAAATACAGGGATTCTGTCGAGCTCTATCTTCCCGGTACGGTATTGCGAAAGCGGTGAACTAGTCGCTCAATAAGCTACCGACATTTATAGAATACTTGTACTGTGTTGCTACTGTTGCTACACCGGAGTTTGCCAGTGGAGAAGGTACGACTTCGAACGAAAATGTCGGATGAGGTGCCGATAGCTCACACTCTACTCTGGACTGGGCGACCTAGTTGTAAAACAACTCCGAACGATGTTAGGGACACCATCTCGTATTCTGTTCCCAAACATCTCCCCAAGACGCACTAATCCTCCAATAAGGGCTTGTCGCCTGAATGTTTTCAAGTAACAGTTTTTCCTTATCATTTTCCTGCAAATTCCGTTTTATCGAATTTGCATTGCCAACCCGTGACTTCTTATTATTCCACTCTAATTTACTCTGGCCACGATCTTTTACTACGCACTTCTTTGTCACAGCGTCCATTTCATATTTCAGTCCGACACTGCTTCCGTGTAAATATCGATGACGAAATAAAATGAGATGCCGCTTCACTTTTTCCCTCTACTGTTTTATTTTTGCGGTGGGGTAGTGAATCAGTATGTAAATCTCCCATAGATTAAGGGGACTTATGACCTTTCGAAAACAGTTCGGCATGTCCCACGTTCCTATTATCTCAGGGCCAAGTCTAATTCCGGTTTATGTTTTGCATCTACTAATCAGGCTGTTCAAATTTTTTTGTGTTCATCGTAAGCTATGACGGAGTGCACAGTTTAACTGATAAACATCGTTGTTAAAGGATTCTGTTGTCCAAGTCGATTATTCCGCAGTTTTTCCCACGACAGGAAGTTGGGTGGTACATGTGGCCCCGATTAGGTTTATGTTTGAACTCAAAATGTGTCGTATATCCTGTTACTGTATTCACTGACGTTCCGTCAGGACGCTGTTCATTTGACATTTGTTGTTCTTCATAATGCACACACATGATCCATTAATCCTTTCCAGTTCGATGAGATAACCAACTGAGTTATTCTCATTCTCATTATTTCGTGTACGTATACTATCTTGCATTTCACACAGGTTCAAGAAAACCATTGGCCCGCATTGTGGGTTGGCATCAGGTTGGTCTCGAACCTGAGTTGATGGGTCTTGGTCCGGTACAAGCGATCCGGGGGTTGTTGGAGAAAATACACTGGAGTGTGGAATCAGTTGACGTGTTTGAAGTTAACGAAGCTTTTGCAGCCCAGTCAATTGCTGTAAGTCCACGTCACTCGTCACATTACAAGGTGCAGTAACAATGATTTTTCGTACAGAAAGGAAAACTCCACAACTTCTCTCATGGGGTAGCCGAAAAAACTTCGAAAAATTGCCACATCACACGATCATCCGAAAAGGTGAATACGCTGCTTCTTGGAACACCCGCACGATTTCTGTGCTTCTTTATTCATCATCACCCTCAGAGGACGGTCATCATTTCTTGGTGTCACTGAAAGTGCATGGCCGAATGATAACAGATACGGGCACATGGTTATGGACTATGAGATGCATCAGGATTCATTCACACACGAAGTTCGGACTTCATAACACGCCGTTTCGTGTGACAGTATTCAACACACTACTTTTTATACAGATTTTCCACACGAGGCCTGCTTTCCCTGAACCCGTGGTAATTATACTTTTTGAGTCTGTCAAAGTAATTGATATGTTTTCAAGATGCTTATAAAAAGCGGCAAGCTGACTTATTCTTCAAACTCTTTTCATCTTATGTTATCATAAAATTAATTTTCCAGTTGGTGGATGTCCCATAAGTCTTTGCCCTATTACTCATCAAGACACCGAGGATTGTTGTGTGCAGATAACTTCGTTTCACTTGAAGCAGCTATTGAAACCCTCTCTTCGATCACCACCTTTGTTGTTCATGTAAATGTGTTACTTCAGTGAACGGCTAAATGTGAAACGATCATGCCTCCAGATGTGCCGTCGTTTTCGAATGGTGGAGCAAACGCTGCGCAACGTTGTTCATGTGTGAGTTCAATTCTTATCGAAGCTGCTGACCTTTTCGCTGTCGCATCACATGAAAATCAAAATATTAACTGATTGATTCGTAAATTC